CTGGGGGCTGCTCTCCCTCTTATCTGATTGTTTCCAAGGTGGCACCTCTTCCCGTTTTTCCCCAAGGTCATTCACACATTCTATTACCACAGTGTACATCCCCAACCTCTGTATGTTAAGTATAATAAAAAAAACAAGCATATAAATCCTATTAGAACAAGATATAGCCAGCACTGGGAACATTAATTGAAGAAATCCATCCATCCAACACTAGGAAAGAAAACAACCACTGCTAGAAGTCTGTAGGGATTCTTGGTCATCCAGGTCATGGTTGGGATGAACACCCTGTGAATGGTGTGGGAGTAGGAATGGATTTCCAGAGTGAAAATTGCAGACTATAGGAATGAGGAACACCACTCAGTTGATCCTGAGGACACAGGTAAATCTCCAAGTGGCCTCAATGACTCTTTAAAAGGATGCAAATGACCAGCAAGGAAAATAAATTCTTCTATTCCCCACTATAGTCAGAGGTGAAGAAGCTTCTTGGACGAGAAATGAAACGTCTTCAAAGAAGCTGCCTCCTGAAAAAGCTAGAAGGGACAACCACAGCTAGAAGGAATGAGTTCACAATGTTCTAACCTCCCAAAGCTGGATGGAAAGACCACGTTTTAAAAAGATTAAACATGGTTAAATCCAAAAGAAAAAGTCAAAAAGGAGAGAAGGGAAAAAAGAAAAAAGGCTTGAAAGGTGACAGCCAACAAAGTGGATTGTCCTCAAAACCAACTGGCAACCAGTGCAACAGACCACTGGTGTTATATGAGAAGTCCCATCCACCTATTTAACTACTTGAAGGGTGCAATGGCTCAGTGGTTAAAGATGACGGGTGAATTCCTGTTTCTCCTACCAGCTCCTGCCCTGCCTAGCAGTTTGAAAAAAGACAAATGCAAGCAGATACATAGGTATAGAGTAGATAAATATGAAGAATGGTTGCAGGAATTGGATATGGCTAGTCTAGAGGGAAAAAAAGAGGGACGCAGTGGCTCAGTGGCTAAGACGCTGAGCTTGTACATCAGAAAGGCTGGCAGTTCAGTGGTTCGAATCCCTAGTGCCGCATAAAAGAGTGAGCTCCCGTTACTGGTCCCAGCTTCTGCCAAACTAGCAGTTCAAAAGCATGTAAAAAAATGCAAGTAGAAAAATAGGGACCCCTTTGGTGGGAAAGTAACAGCGTTCTGTGCGCCTTTGGCATTTAGTCCTGCCAGCCACATGACCACAGAGACGTCTTCGGACAGCACTGGCTCCTCGGCTTTGTAACGGAGATGAGCACTGCCTTCTAGAGCTAGAAGCAACTAACACAGATGTGAGAGGGGTACCTTTAGTCTGGAGAAAAAAAGGACTAGGGATGACATGATAGCAATGTTCCAGTATTTGAGGGGCTGCCACAAAGAGGAGGGAAGTCAACTTATTTTCCAAAGCACCAGAAGGCAAGATGAGAACCAATGGATGGAAACTAATCCAGGAGAGAAGCAACGTGGAATTAAGGAGAAACTTCCCAACAGTGAGGACAATTAACCACTGGAACAGCTTTGCCTTTGGAAGTTGTAGGTGCTTCATCACTGGAGGTTGTTGAGAAAAGACTGGACAGCCACCTATCTGAAATGCTATGGGGTCTCCTGCTTGAGCAGGGGGTTGGACTAGAAGACCTTCAAGGGTCCCTTCCAGTTCTATTCTGATTAAGGTACCACTTCAGTGGGAAGCTAACAGCGTTCTATGTGCTTTGGGCATGACAATGGAAATTGTCTTTGGACAACGCTGGATCCCTTGGCCAAAAAGCGGAGATGAGCACCATGCCTAGAATCAGACACAACTGGACAGAAAACCTTCATCTTGGAATCGTTACTTGGGATGCCAGATTCAAGACCAGCTGTTGCAACCTCAGAGCTCCACTTTTGTTCGTTTCTGCCACGGCGGCAATGTTACTCTCTGAGCAGAATGAGGAGGGATGATAAATTCCTCGCTTGGCAGGGCTTCATTAATAAGTAATCCAAAGCATTTATAAATAAAAAGAAGCATTTAGACTATTCCCCGCTTCCTGAGTTATGAGAGGAGCAATTAAGGAGAAAGGCTTTAAAAAGAGCCGAACCTGCTGAATTGAAGGTGGTTCAGGAAGGAGGGGGGGGAAATTGCTATTGGGATTTTGATGCAGAGAGATTGTTGCCAAGGTTTGGCCTTCTGTGGCTTGACAGCAAAGGCTGAATGGACAATCATTTATTCATAAAAATAGGCGCATTCAAATGCAGCCATCGGAGACGGCAGGATTGAATAGATTCTGCCCTAGTTATTGCTGTCTCCAGTGTGGCTTCCTGATCAAGAGGAATCAATCTTCACATTGGTTGGGTTCATGCAGGGTCCTTGACCAGATTAAACAATGATCTAATGGTTCAGAGGTGGCATTCAGCAGGTTCTGACCAGTTCTGGAGAACCAGTAGTGGAAATTTTGAGTAGTTCTGAGAACCGGCAAATGCCACCTCTGACTGGAGATTTTACAGTATCGTTTACCTGCCACGCCCACCAAGCCATGTCCACAGAACCGGTAGTAAAAAAAAATTGAATCCCACCACTGTAATGGTTGCCTTCACACCTGTTATGGTGGATTAACTTTATGTCCGGTTTTCTGTGGCCTAGCATAAGATATGAAGGATCCCTTTGGGTTAATTTATCGTTCGATGAATTGTGTGAATACAAAACAGCAATAGCACTTAGACTTATATACCACTTCATAGTGCTTACAATTTACAGAATCAGCATAAGGAGAAGGAGGAGGAGAAGGAGGAGGAGGAGGAGGAGGAGGAGGAGGAGGAGGAGGAGGAGGAGGAGAAGAAGAAGAAGAAGAAGAAGAAGAAGAAGAAGAAGAAGAAGAAGAAGAAGAAGAAGAAGAAGAAGAAGAAGAAGAAGAAGAAGAAGAAGAAGAAGAAGAAGAAGAAGAAGAAGAAGAAGAAGAAGAAGAAGAAGTGCTTTACAGCCCTCTCTAAGCAGTTTACAGAGTCAGCCTCTTGCCCCCAACAATCTGTGTCCTCATTTTACCCACCTTGGAAGGATGGAAGGCTTGAGATGGTCAGGATCAAACTGTGATGACCCAGGGTGGGATACAAAATAAACACAGTCACAAAAAAA